TGGCCGGATCCACAGCGAAGAGATTGTTGGACCGGCTATCAAAAAGGGCTTCTATGAAATACTCCAGCCTGCCTGCCTCTCCCTCATCCACATCCACTGCTTTCAAAACAACAACAGGAGTCCCAGCTGGCTTATTCTCTGCCACAGACACCTGGTACATGGGAGGTTGAAACTGGGGGCTGCTGTTGATGCTTCTCCTCCTCCTGCTCACAATCCCTGAATCAGACTGAGCTGCCTTTTTTAACAGCTTCCCTATGTGGCCCTGCCTGAAGGGGCCCTGCCCCACACGCCAGTGGACAGAGATGGGGTTGACTTTTGCACTTCCTGTGAGTACATCACAGAGCAGGTCCAGCTCCAGGAGTGTGTCCTCCCTCCAGCACAGCGTCTCAGACACAAACAAGTCCCCCTCTGAGAAGTAAAAGTCCCTGCTGTTGGTGACTTTGCAGCGGATCACTTCTCCAGGTAGCAGACCCCCCACTGCAAATAAAGCAGAGCCTGCCTGGTGGCACTCTGAGCGGTGTTGGCTGTGCGCGCTAAACAAACTGAGCACCTCCATGTCCCACTGTGGTTTCCTTTTACGCTTGTTTGAACAGTTCCTACCGTGAACATGCACGTCGTACTGGCTGGTGAGGAGGTGCCTGGAGCCGGAGTCCGTGCAGTCCGCCACAGTGTACACGGTAAAAGGGTTGGAGCGCAGCGAGGCGCACTTTACCGAGTCCGAAACAAACACAATGCCCTCCGCCGCGTCAGTCCCCAGGAACCGCTCCGTGAATTTAGGAGCGAGGACTTGATCCATAGTACACCGTGCGCCCTGCTCCATGCCGGCCACCACCGTCCTTGGCCCCGCATCCTCACTGATGTGAACGGTGTAACAATGCGCCAGCGAGACCAGTTTACACCACCAGAAAATCAACAACAAATCCCAGTTAACGAAGTGCATCGCTCCTCAGTGTGTGTTCAGCCGGCTCTCCGAGGGGGAATCTCCGCAGCTCCTTATTCCGTTAAACTTTCCGCCTGTGAGTTTCCCTTTGTTGCAGAGGAGCCATGCTCTCAGCGGGCGCACTTCTCTCCGGTCACTCCGGCTGGTTGGAGGAGGTAAACCCGCAGTCACCTTGGCCGGAGCAGCTCACACACACTCAGTCACACACGCCGGGAACAACAGCAGCAGCAGCAGCAGCACCTCCGCTCCGTCCGCCTAACTCCGCTTGAATGGTGAAAATGGCTCCAGCTCCCCCTGCGCCTTGAGGCTCCTCATTATCATAAACCTGTGTGTGTGTGTGTGTGTGTGTGTGTGTGTGTGTGTGTGTGTGTGTCTAAGAGAGAGAGAGACAGCTCTGTTAGGGGTCTGAGGACTAAACACAAACCCTGACACTGGAGATAAATGGTAACTTCCTTAAAGCTTCATTCAGCTTCATTTATATCCAACAGAAAGCAACAAAAGCGAGACTTTCATTAGATAAAGTTTACTGGCAACATTGGGTTTCATCATTTATTTTTCTTGCCATGTTTGAATGCTCCAGCTGAAGGGACTGACCTTTTTATCTTTACATTAGTTTGGGTTTTATCTAAAAGTGCAACAGTTCAATGACTAAGACAAACATGTTGTGGCACATAAACACTCCAGAACATTATTATCCTCCTGAGACGTCATATTTGTGGTTTCCCGCAACTTGTACTTCATTTTGTTTAACTTACACCTGTTGTCCTCATCCGTGGACACTTTTTTGTGGTAGTAAGAGCACAATACACTAATCCATGTACTAACAGCACTGTACTACTAGCCGCCATCTCTGCCAAGTCAGTCTGCAGCCGATCCTGACACAAAAGTGAACAAAACCTGATCACATTTTATAGTTGAAACTTGTTTATTTATGATTGATAATGTTTGTCATTCAATATGGCAACACATTTTGACCAATTTTAGCAACAGTAACAAGCTAAGACACTGTTAATTAGGAAGTACTTGTCTGAGGACATTGGGACTTCTTGTTGATGATGATTTTTTTTATATTTATTGGGTCCTACTGATCCCAAATAGCTAGGAGAAGTTAAGAATGCAAACCAAACCAAAGTTCAGGTTTCAGGAGGAAATTTTTATCACTGACAAACATAAATGTCCAGGAGCATAGGCGTCATTTCAACACTGGGGGAGGACACATATGACACATGACACACGATGTTTGGCAGGTGAGAATTTAACAATTTCCTTCATTCTGGGGAATTCTTATTTACCAATTTGTGCACTTTCTGTGCCATCTATGGTGTAAATGTCTTTAATTTTGTCAAAATAAAAGTCCACTGCTACTTTTTTGCTTTTATTGGGGGGGTCAAATGCACATGCTCCAAATATTGAGGGGGACATGTCCCCTTAGTCTCTACCTGAAATCTACACCTATGTAAATGTTCACCTACATCCACCCCTTGTCTCCACAAAGGGTTTACTCATTAACTAGCAGACATTCCTCAAATTTTAGGCGAAGAGTGTCTTAACACAACATGAAGACGTTCCTTCACTGGATGCCTATTGTTCAAAACTCTACTAAAACAGGACAGTTTAAATTTGGTCTATGAATTAATTTCAGTTCATTTGTGCTCATCATCATGGTGTTTTTGGATCCATAAGTTGATATGCTTTCTATTAGGTCTTCACTGATTCATGTCTTTTTCAATTTTACCCAGGTCCTGTGTCAAAACTTGAGCAGTAAAAAAAATATTAGTATAAGGTCAACTCTGTTAGAGTAACATGCACATGGAATTTAAAAAAAAGCCCAATGCATTTGAACTGAGCACAGAGCTGTGCTGATAAAACAGAGAAACAGCTGTGAAACTTGATGTGCTGAACGTTACTGCCACCTAGGGGACAAACTGCAGTCACACACTTTCCACCAGCTCATCACCTCACTACAGTAATACCATTATGTGCAGAGTTAAATGCAGAATGTCCACAGGCATCAGACATTTATATTTAATACTTTTAAAGACATTTTAGAGATAATTTTAACCAAATTTAAAGGTCCAGTGTGTAGGATTTAGGGGGTTCTACTGGCAGAAATTAAATATAATATTCATAAACAGTGCTGGGGAGTAGTGAACTACACGTAATTAAACCAGTAGTTTCACAACATTTTGCAGTAGCTTGCTGGTGGTTCAGCTACATTCATAACTGCATTGTAATTCAAGCAGAAATTTACATTTTTTTGTTTGTTTTTTACTTTTTTGCTTAGTTAACTACTGAAACTACAAACAGGCCATAAAAAAGGAAGCAATTTTTTTTTTTTTTATTTCACCATTGCTTCTCTACTATAATCCAACCCCCATTAACCACAGTGAGTCATAATAATAATTATTGATTAATGCTATTTATTAACAAAAAAGAGAAGTTGTTGCATGATATTTCAGAAGTTGCCTGGCTGAGTAACCCTGCTTGATGTAATAACCCCACCTGGACTCTAGTCTCTGATGGCAGGTGTCTGACCGATGGACATTATACACAAAACCAAAGCTGACAGGCCATGTGTAGTGGGGTATTTTATTTTATTGGGTTATGTATGAGCTGTGACCTGCTGGGCACTTTATGCAATATAAGACAACTAAGTGGTATTTTTGCTGGCATGTGACTTTTTTGTATTACATTTTGTTATAATTTCATATCACATGTACGCTGTCAATTTGATCATTTAGTAAGCAGTGTGAAGTACTTTTCCTAAGTAGCTTTAGTTAACCAAACTAGATTTCTCTTTAGGGAAGCTTTGCTATAGTTCATCTTCTTTCACTGTGAAGTAACTGGCAGCCTGCAAAGTTCTGCTTTCAAAGTAGCTTCCCCCAAACTATTCATTAATATGTTTTCATTAGTTAATAATCACCTGAAACTGAGAAATGTGTTTTTATTACCTTAGAATGAGCCGTTTGTATCTACATACTGAGCAGATCCTCCTCCATGGAATCCGCCATGTTGTTTCTACAGTAGCCCAGAAGGACAAACCAAACACTGGCTCTAGATAGGACTATTTGCATTTTCATGTTGGCCACCATAATTCTCAAGGCACTTGGCACACAGGAAAGGCAAAAAAGATTACATTAATTATTTTTACTTTATATATTATTGGAAAACTCTTTCATAAGTTTTTTGCAATCTGAAACCTGACCGCTAGATGTAATTAAATTCTACACACTGCACATTTGAGACTGATTTTGGGGCAAATCATATTTTTCTTACTTAAGAATTACAGTTAAGTACAAAAACCAAGTAAATACATGGTCCCATATGGAGGTAGTTTTCATGTATGTTATCACAGTGAGTTAGGTTTATATACCTTTCACCAACAGGTAAGTGCATGTATAAAGTTAAAAGACAGTATTAAGCTTCAGTGGTAGGTTTAAAGATTTGTAATATTGGAAATGTGGACTTTCATGCAAAAGAAAATCACTGATTTGGACAAAAATTTAAAGATGGACAAATTTAATAAAATGTTTATGGCATTAAAGCCCTCACATGTACAAATTAAATACATTTAATTGCTTTTAAGGCCTGATATTTATGCTCTGGTGGTCATATAGACAGAGGGCTCAACAGTAAAGAGAAAAACTGCATAGATGTAAGTGTGCGAAAATCTTTTTCTACTAGTCTAGACTTATAAATGTTTCCAGCACTGTGCCAAGAACAAGCTGAGTGGAGCGGTGGTTGTTCTGCATCAATTTATGAAATTGAATCTAAGACATTTTAAGTACCTGCAGACACCCTGGTGGCATGAATTAATGGAACTCTTATTGAACCCTGTTACAGATAAATCTAATAGATGGTCCTTGTGTGCATTTAATCTGGTTTTACTATGAAGAAAAATAACTGACAAAACAATCTCATCACACAGTCCATTTAGTGAGTAAAGTGTTTCCCACCTGAGCAGCAGTGTTTGCAGTGGTAATGTAGTTTGTTATTCTGTCTCCTACATGCACAGTGCAACACCTCAATAAGAAATGAAGAATAAAAAAAACAGCAGGAGTAGCTTTTTACTATTTTTATTGTTGCTGGAGGCTCTAATACAATATGAATCATAAGCTTTACAAAATAAAAACAAAACAAAAATACAACAAAAAGATTCCCCTCCAAAATGGAAACGGCCAAAGGTTTCCACTGAGACATGAAGACGAACTGTGACCCCCAACAAAGACATAGTAGGTGAGGAGAGAGAAGAGTCGAATAAGCTGAACAGAGGGGAGGCAGACTGTCATGTTATACACAGTGTAGGAGGGTGGGGGAGTTGGGAGTTGGGTTGACGACGTGGGTGTAATCACCCGGTGATTATAACAGTCCATCCCCATGTTTGATAAGTCTACATTTCCACTCACTGCAGCCCCACACAGGCTCACATGCACGTGGACAGAGTGGAATAAAGAGTAAAAACCTTCTAACACGAACTGAAGGCCGCCCTCGTGTTCACACCAGAAGAATGACAGTTATACACGGACAGTAATAATTTTATACAAATATATCAGTGGGGTGGGGGCGTTGTAGACAAAAGTAGGTGCTTGAAATAAATTTGATGTACATAATAATGACAGCCCCGCCGAGCCTACGCCACCTACAGCACGGTCTGTATCTGTTTCCTCAACACAGGAAGAGCCGGGCTAAAGTCGCTCGTTTGAAACTGACAGAGGACACATCAGCTGTGAGAACATCAGGGATTATTACTACAATGACCCTCACACTGTAAGATTATCATTAACCGTGGTAATACTATCATTATATTCATTACATGGGAGAGAAAAGAGGGGCGAAGAGAGACAGAGGGAGCGTGAGTCGATGGCTTCATGGCAGATGAGATGCATGAAAACAAAAAAAGACAGAAGAAAAAAAACCAAATAAAAAGCTAAGCATTTTCTCCTTTTTTGTTTTTTTTTCCCCACAAATAAACAAGAGTGCAGCACTGAAACAGGCGTGGAGGGAGAGACGTAAAGAAACAGAGAAAAGATGGCGGAGATGAGGCGGAGAGAGTGAGAGAGACAGAAGAAGAAGAAGAAGAAGAAGAGAGAGAGAGAAGAGAGAAAAAAAACAGAAACAGTAGCAACTCTAGCTGTTGTGTTTGCGTTTGAGTGCCTCCATCAGGTCGTTCTTCAGAGCCTCCTGCTTTGACTTGTCAGCCAGAGTCTGAACACTCCTGTGAGGGGAGAGACACAAAGAGACGAGAGACAATCAGTGCGTGCGAGATCAAATGTGGAAACAGCGAGAGGGAGGCTGGGGAAGTTTCTCCAGTGAGACAGAAACACAGGCTGTAAGTTCAAGAGAATAACTGAGGAGCTGATGTTAGTTAGACAGACATCACAGTGCGACTCCTCCTGTGTGGAGAGACCATGGTGAAATAAATGTACACACACTGCACACATTCATGTCAGGCAAATAAAAACGTAACAGTTACAGTTACATGTTGTCATGCAGCTGATACTAAACTGTCTTACGGCAGGATTGAAAAATATAGTTATTTTAAGATTAATAATTAACTAGGTGCAGATATAAAATTAAAATCTTCTCTGTATCTGCTTTAATCCATTTGAGTTTCTGAACAACACGATCCTGTTAAACAGCCGGGAATGAACACTCATGCTAATCAGATTTTGCAGTTATTTCTATTTCAATGCTGTGCTTTCACACACACTCCTCCAACAGGACAAAGTGTTGCTCCCAGAATAAACACACCGTTTCAGCAAACCTTATTAGGGCAATAAACTCCAAAACATGACATGGTTAGTGTGTCGCTCCCTCGCAGGGACCGTCTGTTAGACTAACAGGGTAAACAAAACCTGCACAACATGCCTGCACAGCACAGCTGCCCAACCTTCATCACTCTGAGGAGCATGCAGATGTGTTCACACAGACACAGACACAGACACAGACACAGACACACACACACACACACACAGACACACACACACAGTCACCTGAGAGACATTCAAGTCAGGTTTTTCTGATTTGTTTGATTTTCTACTTCACTTTCAGCAGTGGCTTGTTGCTAACAGCTGTATTTACATAAACTAACAACTGCCCTGCTTTTCACGTGACGTCTATGTGCTCGCTGCAATGTAATGATGTTTAGAAATTGATCATTAGTCATATCTTGAAGTGGCAGTCTTGAAGATTTCAGTCCTGGTTCATTTGGCGAGACCAGCAGATAATTATGAGGGTTGGGAATCACATTAACATTATAACGATGGTAAGGCCCCGATACCATATCATTGTGATTTTAACGTATTGTGATGTGCTGAGTATTGTGATATCATCTTCTGTGATATATTGTGATTTATTACATGTTTTCCAACTGTAAGTCCCGAAAAGTAAAACTTTATCAACATCTGTTTTATCTAATACGTTAAGTTTTTAGTCTGTTCATCTCACTTCAGTTATTGATATTGCAGCAAACTGTATCTAGTGGACTGAAAAAGCAACTGACTTTATTTTTTCCAGTGGGCTACCAAAAGTTTAATTTGTACCTGACACACGACACACGTTTCATGTGTATGTATCGACACAATATCACCACACAAAATACTGCAATACTGTGCTGTATCAATTCCCCCCACCCCTAATACAGGGTGTCTACAGGTATCAGACAGTTAAATTTAATGCTTTAAGACCCGTTCAAGACACCTTTAAACCACATTTAGGACAGATTTTTGGGCAAATCATGCTCTACTTATTCCAGCATGGTAGGCACGTAGTATATATGTGGTATTGTACAGAGGTAAGTTTTATGTAGGAATTTGGTCATTAGAGTGAGTTAAGTCAATCTACATTTTGCCAACAGATTGCCTGTTAAAGGGTTTTTTGGGGAAGTTTTTCCTAATCTGCTGTGAGGGTCCAAAGCACAGAGGGACGTCGTATGCTGTAAAGCCCCCTGAGGCAAACCAGATATGTGATATTGGGCTTTATAAATAAAATTGAATTGAAACTGAAATAAGTTTAAGTATTAAGTAAGATGAGTGTATTATAGTTTTCTAAAGATATGTAACATTAGAAATGGGGACTTTTACAAAGAAAGGCTTTATTTTCACAAAAATACATTAAATGGACAAATGAAATAAGATAATAATGTTAAGACCTCAAAAATTCAAATTTAAGACTGACTTAAGGCCTTATTGTTGTAACACTGACTTTAAGACATGTTAAGACTTTTTAAGGACCTGTAGACACCCTGTAATAATTACTGATGGTAACAACAAATGTGATTTAAAACTACATGTCACAGCATTTTGGGGGCAGCAAAACCAAGCAGTGTCATTTTTAAAAAAGAAGTCAGGTAATATCATTCTGTGAGCAAGGTGATCTGATTGTATGCTGCATGTGGCATTTAAAATATGTACTTTAATTACATAAAAATCATCCCCAGGGACGAGTCAATATAGGACACTAATCTTACAGAGATAAGGTAGACGGATTTGTCCGCTTATTGACTCTGACAAATCAGCAGGATGAAAATGTTTCCTCTTACAAAAATAATATCTGGGGGTTCATTTTAATGTGAAATTGAGATTGTCAAAAAATGGTAATGCTGTTTTAAAGAAGGCAAAGTCTGGGTTGTTGTAAAGTCCAAGTGCAAGTGAGGAGCTTTTCTTTCACAAATGACTAGTGCCTTGTTTTATGCTGTTGTATGTTGGTTTAACAGTTTTACTGCCAATGATAAGAACAGGATTAAGATGTTTATTAAAAACACAGCTGGTTCTATAACTGAACTGACTCCTGATTTATTAGAGACAGTTTCAGAGGAAAGAACCAGAGGGAGAGTTCAGAACAAACTGAACTTTAAAGGTCATCACGTTTGGTGTTTGTATGTTTCTAGTAGTCTTAAAAGTATGTTGAAGGAGTTGCTTGTATAGAAAAATCAAAGATATGTCTGAAGTAATATATTATTTAAGTACTGAGAGACATCTGAGAGGAGCACCACAGAGGAGCACCGTGGATTACTCATTTTCTATTTACCAACACACACACACACACACACACACACACACTTCTCCATGCCAGGTTGTACCTCTGACCCTAGTCAATGAAGATCTGACGCTGGGTGAGGACCTGCGACAGCTCCTTCTGGAGCTGCCGGTACTTTTGGTTATCAGGCAAAGACTCAATAGATCTGGAGCACAGAGGAGAGACGGCAGGGGAGGAGAGGTGACAGAGGGGTTGACAGGAGGACAGACAGTGAGGAGAATGGCAACAGAGATGTGGGATGAAAGGCAATAAAAAAAAAATAAGATCATAAGCGAGTTTGAGGAGAAGGATAAGGGAAGGAGGAGGCGAAGTGAATACAGAAAAAGTACATCTGAAAAGACGGGCAGCAAAGGTAGCTTTAAATAAAATATCAGATCAGGACTGACATGAAATGAGAGAATGAGAGAGGGAGAGATGTTGACCAGGTCAACAGATGGAGAAGTAAACCGACTCTGCTCTCAGTAAGACTGGTGCGATAAGAAAAAGTTTCTGCTGACTGGAGGTGCTGTAAAAGGAGAGAGGTGATCCAACTCATCCAAACAACTCATGTGGCGTTACCTTAGGCCGTTGACGATGTCCTTGGTCTTCCCAAAGTAAATTTCATTCAGTGTGGAGCGGATCTTGTTCTCCATATCCTGGAACGAGAATCAAGACATTCTTAACTTTCAGTCTGCCTCTATTGTGTGTTTATCAATGACAACATTTTTAGACAGTTAAATATGAAGGCGTGTGACGTCTACTGTACATGATGCAATGTGGCTGTGGCAAAGAAGTGTTGCACTACTGCATTATACAGACATGTTTCTGTTACTTAGCTTCATTAATACAAATGGGGTATGGGGTGACTGTGTGGAGGTCAAACAAACCGGTACATGATTGTTCTTGTTTCTCAAAGCTCGTTTCGTAACCAGTTTCACTCTACTGTTTTAAGACTTCACAGGCTACAGTAACTTCATCTTTGGGAGGCTGCTCTTATCAGCCCTATCAACTGAAACATCCCTTCTTTCACTGTGAGATTAAATGTGTTCAGTTCGACACTGCCAGCACAATAAATTGTAACTTGTAAATTAAGTTTTGAGCAGCACACCACAATGCTTGTGCAATCATGTTTTTATCGTCTTGGAAATATTTCAACATCTAAAGACACAGAGACCATTCTGCAAACCTTCATCTCCTCATACCTGGGCTTCTGCAACAGCCTGCCTGAACCAAAAGTCTATTGATCGACCGCAGATTGCACTGACCTCAGCTGCCAGAGTTTTAACCAGAACCAAGAGATGTGATAATATCACTCCTGTTTTAGCCTCTTTACACTAGCTCCTATCGATTTTAAGATTTCACAGATCACTTTTAAGACTCTTCATGGCCTTTCTCCCTGCTATATCGCTGACCTCTTGGTACAGTACGCGCTGGTAAGTACTTTGAGATTCTTGGGCAGAGATCTTGTGTCTATTCCAGAGGCCTGTCTGAAACTAAAGGGGACACAGTGTTTGGAGTCAGGGCCCTGGGGCTCTGGAAAGACCTGCCCGAGGACATCAGGTCGGCCACATCAGTGATCTCCTAAAGTCCCTCCTTAAAACATGCATCATCTGAGAGCCTTTCCTGATTTTACTTGAGTTTTAATTTCCTTTGAAATGTCTTAGCGCTCCATAAATAAAGATTAATATATCATTATACTAGCAGTGTTATTAGAGAGCATATTAGCAGATTAGTCTATATATAATGCAACTTTTACAGCCTTATGAAACATCAGCAGAAACCACAATGCAGGAGACCTAATCTTGAGAAACAATACATTGCAGTATTTTTTACTGCAGATCCACTGCTTTAGGTCAGCAGTCAAAAAAAGTTAAACAAGCATGATATAAGCCGTCATACTGACTTCAACAAGGCGGCCGATGTTGGCGATGTGGGGTGAGGACTCTCCAACCGTCTCATCTTTTTCCATCTGTGAAAAGATGAAACAAAGTGAGTTCATGGATGACCACAGAAATGCTGGACGCATCAGTAGTGTTTTTATGTTGAGCTCAACACCAAACCTGTCTTGTAAGGCTGCCACCCAGGTTCATGGTGCCGGAACCAGTCTTGGTTGTCTGGAGCCAAAGCATGACGGTGGAGGTGAGTTTGTAGTGAGCAGTACGACCGCTGGACTTCTCCTGCTCGCACAGACAGACACAACAAGCAGTGAGACAATAATCTGGACTAAGGATTTATAATAATGCATCTCCTGCATGTCACTGATGTTAACAATTACCTGCCCGTTCCACTAAGAAAACCACAATACAGGGCAGGAGCGAGTTCAAATGTCAACTTATTCCTTATGAGCTGATTCTCACCTGCACCTCCACCACATGGATGGAGTCCCAGCACCCTTTGATCTTCTTGGATCCATCGCCAGCCTTCTTGATGAGAATAACTCCGGCGAAGCCATGATCCAAGTCCCAGAGGTACACAGAGGACACACCGCCCTCAAAGTACCTGAAGAACACAAATATCAGAGGTCACAAGAGGGCGACGCCGGCTGTTTATTAAAAACTCCCCGTGATATTGCCTCGCCGGTACTCACAGGTCTCTGTACTGATCAAAGGCGTTATTGGCTTCAACCTCGAGTTTCCTCAGGCGGGCTGAGGGCATTGCACCGTCTTCAATGGGAGGTTCATACTTATTACTCCACGGGGATCTGAAGCATCAAAAAGAACCCATTTACAGCCAGTTAGTACATTTGTTAGAGTCACTGTCTTCGCCTGTTTTCCAATGACAGATTAACTGAGCATAATTTAGTTAATGTTCCTTGTGCATGACTACAGATGTCCCGAACCAAGCTTAAAGATCGGATTTGGGGCTGATCAAGGCAGTTTTAACCTGAGCCATATAGAGCCTGACCCCATCCTTTGTTTTACGTCAGCTGGTGTTTTTACTCGCAAAGTTTTCATTCACAGCAACGCAACGAGTGCAGCCATCATCACCTCTCCGCTGTCTGTCTCTCCTCCACTTCCCTGAGCTCCTGTGTGTGTGTGTGTGTGTGTGTGTGTGTGTGTGTGTGTGTGTGTGTGTGTGTAAGGCAGGGGCTGAGTCCCACCCTCGGCAAACATCTACACCATTAACAACAGCAAAGTACAGTATGAGACTGTTAAGTTTCATTTCCGCTCAGTGTGAGAATCTCTTGTGTTTTGCTGTGGTGCATGGTGTTTCATATAGGAGAGAGGGACAGTGGTTCAGAGCTTGTGAAAACCACACTCACCACGCAATTGCAAATACAAATAAAGCCTGGTGAGCAAAAAGCCAATGAGAGTAGTTTATTAATGCAACCTAAACCATGTAAGAAATGTACTGGCGACTAAAATAAACGCTCAGTGAGTTGCCGTTCATTCACTTAACTCTGGAGAACAGTCTCATAAAGGGACAGTGACATCCCACTGAGACAGCAACAAGGCCAAAAAGATTAAAGGAGGGTTTGCTATTTTATACTTGGCTGTTTCTTAATAAACAAATAATAAATTAACATTAGGGAACAGCTTGGATGCAGGGAAATGTTCTCTTAATACATTGCAGAGCTGTTCAATTGTCAAGCATACACACTGAATTCATTATAAGTACTCTAAGTGTGCACTGTGCAGCTGTTACTTAGGAAATTAAAAGTGCCAGATCAGGAATCAGTATCAGCAAATACTCAGTATTAAATGTCTTGGATGGATCAGGGGCAAAAACATTTGGCCGGGACAACCCTATCCATGACTGAACTGTAGTTATAAACTCGACCTGTAGGAGTCGCCATCTCGGTTGTAATCACAGAGCAGATAGTCTTTCCCCACCACCTTGTCCCGGGCAATCTTCAGGGGCTGGTCCACAGAGGAGAGGAGGTCCTCACACAGACTGGGCACCTGGACACAAGCACAGAGAGAGAAAGCTCAAGACATTACCACCATATTTTTCTACAACACAGACACTTAAATGTGCACAACTGCAAAAACTTCTGCAAAAGTTTCAAACACATCTCAACTCCTCAGACACCTTATTAAAAGTTTTCTGTTTGTCTTGACTGTTAACAAGAGACATAAAAGGAAGCTAGGTTTGCCAGTTCAAACTTCCTGTAAGAGATGCCAACTTATAAAGCCTGCAGGGCTTCAGGGACAGACCTGACAGAAAAACAACAAAGGTAGCCTTGTATTTGATCGTCTCATTTTGGTCAAAAATGAACAGAAAGTTCTTTTCACATTCCAGCTTCACTCAATACGCAGAGGTTACTGAGCGGAGCAGGAATAAAACAGCAATGGGAAACATAATATCTGGAGGATAAGGGGGTACAAATTACTTCTCACAGACTGACATGGACTCCTCTTTCTATGTCCTCCTACATCACAGCATAGACACAAAGGAGGCCCTGTTTTCCAACAAAAAAAAAATCCCCCACATCCCGAACACACACACACACACACACACACACACACACACACACACACACACACACACACACACCTGGCAGCTCAGACTGGTTGAGACAAGAGAAGGAAGGGAGGACAAGACCCAGTGGGAAGAGTGTGGCAGAGGAGAAAATGGAGACAGGAGAGACGTGGGACAAACAGGAAAGAAAGAAGTGATTTCAGGTGATTGTGAGTCACCAGGAGGAGTTTGAGCCAAGACGTTGGAGCCAAAAAGTGCCTGGCAGTGGAGGTGATTGACAGCTGCAATAATAATCGCTAACAACCGGACACAGTGAAACGGGTGAGGAGAGAGCCGATGCCCAGAGGGAGAGAGGTTAAAGGTGAGGCAGGAGGAAGGTGAGCAGGTGGGGGTCTCGCTAGAAAGGAACACACATGCCCACAAAACAAGGTGCCAGCGAACAGTGGTAAAGTGTGACTTGATTTGTGTCCAATTTAGCTTAATCTGTCGGACTCAACCGGCACTGCTCAGTTAAAATCCACAGAATGGGTCTAACAATTTCCAGATAGGAAGGTTTTTAACAGAAAACTGCAGGAGGGAAACAGATGGTTATTTCACAGGTAGAAATCTAAGCTGTTTTAGTATTTCACTGAGAATTTAGGAAAAAAAAACTTCCACTCTGCACTTCAAATTATTAAAAATGACAATATTAAATGCTGAAAATAACTTCAGTCACTCAGATGTCACAGTGATATGCACCAACTGTCACACTCACGCTTAATGGTATGGAACAACAAACACTGAAACACAAACAAAACCACAGGAGGCTCCCCCGAACACAAACATACATTTCTGATGCTACTGAACACACCACAGAGCTGCTGAATAACAGTCACAAGACAGAAACCGAGAGAAATGGCACAACTCACGGCATTTGTACCCAACTGTTCACTGGGTGACTTGACACAACACTCCCCCTCGATTCAAAAATGTGTTACCAATTCCTGAGGTGCCATCTGTTTTTAAAAAGTGTGTTATTACAACCATACCCTACATCACCTTAACCCTGAGTTAAAGACATTTAGGGGTGAGCAGAATTTTGTGACATCACACATGATCTGGAGGTCAGTCATTATCCGGTACGCAACTTAACACCCAGACACACCAAACTGATATCAGAGAACTAGTGGCGATGATGCCAACAAGTTGCACCTGAACACACTGTAAGGACGACAGCCAGTGGCCAACTAAAGGCCCATTTATGCTCAACGTCCATGCAGAGCACGGACAGAAGGCTCCGTCCGTATCCGGATGGAGCCTTCTGTCCGTGCTCCGCGTTCATTTCGTCTGTATTTCTGCACGTTTCCATAAAGCTTACGGATACTGGCCAATTGGAGCAGTACCACCGGAAACCGTGGGGACAGTGTTGCTGTCACTACCCGATACGTAGCTCTAGTGAGACACGAAGAAGAAATAACAATGGCGGTTATCGAATGCCCCGGCGGACATCCTAAAGTACTGGAAATTATGCTCGTCGTCAATTTCTCCCATCGGCAGTACTAGAGACTTTGTCTTTTATGCAAGAGGTACATTATCAATATCTCCTCCACAGTCGCCATGTTTGTTTTTGAGTTTGTTGTTGTCATAAACTTTTGACTCTGGGCTTCCCCCCGGTGGATATATTGGTTAACATCCATGCCAACGTAAAGGACACATGGAAGTATGTGGGCAGTGACGGTAACATCGTTTGAAATGGACGTATACATTTTCGTACGTAAAGGGAGCATAAATGGGCCTTAACATGTACGTTCTGCGCCTAAGGGAGAGGAAATAACTCTCCATACCAGCAGGTGGCAGTAGTCTGTATGTCATTCAAAAAGGGAAACCAGACGACCAGCAAGACAGAATTAAGATGCTAGTTAGCCAGATAGCACATTAACAACACAAGAAATGGCTAAAAATAATAATCTCACCTAACATAACAACTTAGTTTTGATTTCACGCCCTCTTATGTTTAGTCATTTGTTTGTTTGTTCTCTTCACTTCTGTTTCTCTTTTCACGCTCTGAGTTGAACGACTGGCTCCAACGCAGATTCAACATAATAAATCGGCCGGAAAAAGCCAACAAGGGCCGACTTGTGCCAGTGGTGCAGGACACACAACAAATACTAAGGCAATAGACGCTCACCAATGACCCAACACTGACCAACGGCCTACTGGTGGCTTGGTGTGTCTGGGCCCTTAGACAAATCTAATGTGGAAACATGAAACCTGGGTTTTTTAAATGATGGGGAATGGAATCAAGTGTTTATACATTTTTAAAACACTTATTTAAAACACTTATTATTATTCATCTCAGAGTTTTTTGATATTTCTCAAAACATATCAGGGGGAGGCATGGACTAAACCCTTTGTGTTTTTTACCTGTAAGAAATGACTGGATAAAGCAAAGACAGAAACTCACCAGGTCAATGAGGTCACTGAGGTTCTTCTCGATCTGCTGGGGAGGCAGACGCCTCATCAGGTCCAGGGCACAGTCCAGCTGCTGGTCATTCTGGAAACAGAGATACCAATGACTACACTGTATCATCAGATTATAGCTGAACACATCACTTTACAGCTTCACACAGACACATTGTTAATGTCACATACAGTGTGCATGTGTGTTTCAGTTTGCATAGTTTGAGTTTATTTGTTTAACTAACAAAAAAAATTACAATTAAACATTGTTGTCTGAGCATAATGGTGCCAATTGGTATTGGTTTATTGGTATTTAAAGGCTCATGTCCAGGTTTATTTTAACTGTCCAGCTGACACAGTTGTTAGCTACTAAAATGCAGAGTGGCACAAAATATATATATTTGCAAGCAGTTTCAGTGAAGTGATCCTCACTGATGCCAAGCAGATTGTGCCAAAAAACCCCCACCAAGTTTTAGCTGATTTTACCACCACTTTATCAAGATTTACAGGTGTGCCACATCTCTAAGCTGCAGCTGTTGACAGATGAGTTAATTTGAACTTCAGTGCTACATTCATGCTGAGGATTAAGACAGAGTTTGTGATCCAGTCTGAATCTTCCTGCCACAACAGCTCTGCACCAACACTTCTCTAACCATGGACACAAAACTCTTAAGCCAGGGTCTACACAGGATCCTGAGGTGCTGTCTTGTTTTTAATGATAGTATTATGGGATTTCAGCAGGCTGGTAGTCAAATGAAATGAGTATCTTCTAAAGTTACAACCACATTAGTACAAAATTTCTTCTTTGTGTTACCATCCCTTTTCTGCTGCTCAGCACGTTAACAATGTCGAGGAAAACACTAACTTTTGTACCAAAAAGACAGACTTTAGAATACTGGTATATTGATTGATTCGATAGACTCAGACTGCTGAAACTTCACAATATCATGACAAAAACTTTAAAGCATAGTTTTTACGCAGACTCAGGACTGCAGGTTTTTTATCCCATCAATTTGAAAGCGGTAAGGGGAATATGTCTGAATGGCCAGTATAGGGTGCATTTGTAATTCTAATCTGACACTCTACACTAAAACGAGAGCGCTGTTGTTCCAAAAAACAGTGTTCTATTTCTACATGAATTAACAAGCCATTAAGTTAATCAAACAATCACTCTGCTCCGCACTCTGCTGATCAATCTCCCAGGACAGAGGCCCAGAGTATGCTCTGCTGCTCAGAAAGTGTGATGTTCTGAATAACACAATGGTACATTCCAACAGTGCTCCGAATTTACGAGCGGTCCAGTATGTGCTCAGAGTATTTCAATACGCACCCATTAACAGGAGGAGTGACTACAGCATTGCTGGTCATTGTTTTAGGACATACTTGTAAAAAATGTGAACCTATCCTTTAAAGAAAAGCCCTGCTACACTAATGAAGACGTGATGCTGAACACATAACTTTCAACAGTCACTAGTTTTATAGCAGGCTCACTATAAGTGAGTGAAGTCTGTTAGTGTGCAGCTGAATTATGTAGGAAAATATACATAAGCACTGGATCAGGACTCAGTATTGTATGCTGTATAAAAACTTCAAGCTCCTTCACCTCTCCAGAACAGCACAATGATAAAGACCTGCTACATTCTGTATGAGGGTACGAGAGAAGTTGCTGTGCAGGAAATATTCACACCCTTGCAGGCAAACTCTGCCTGCACTGCGAGACTACAGACAACATTTCAAGCTCAGTAGACGGAACAGCACTCATGATTTGTCATGTGAGAACTTGCAGAATAAAAAAAACTGTTAGAAATGAAACTGTAATTGGACAGCTAACAGTTAAAGGTTTGACAAAACTGCACTGAACAGTGTAGAAAACTGTCCAGTGGGCGCAGCTTTCAAACATGTGGCACATGTGACTATATCCAAGTAAATGTCAGTGCACATTTTATCCATCAGCTGCCAAAGTATACACTTCATTTAGCTGTGAGACGTGTGTCATGGAGCACAGGTGGGACATTAGGCGGCAGATATGATGTGGAATTGCAGCAGCTAGTCTGACAGAGGTAAACAACAAACAGGTAAATGTCAGGTGCAACACAACTATCATTCAGACAAAGCTTTACTTTTTATCTGTAGATAGTTTTTATGAGTTGTAAAGACCCTAACTAATCCTTTTAATTTGAAATCAGCCATGACAAGTTGACAAGATATGTGTTTACAAGACGAACTGGGAATCCCCTTTGGGAGAGACACGTAAGTGAGACGTTAGTGGCGCGTATGCCTCCTGTCATCTAGTCCACACTGCCTCCGTCTTCTGTAAACGTCTCAACCATTTGACAGCAGCAGCTCCTGCTGGGGAGCTGAGTTGACAGCCATAACCTGCCTTCGTCAGGCTGACAGCAGGTATTTACTGAACCAAAATAGTTTTCATGTCGGCTCCATGGGAAGAAATCAACAGTGTTTTTATGCACTAATTCACTGATTTTATTTCTCCGCCCACTGTGGCAAGTGAGGGGAAGCCCACAGGCAGACTTGGAGCTTTGATCAATCAATGTTGATATGGTTAATAAACACACATACAGCAGCATATCTGTGTGATTGAAACAGCTGTAGATGCAGACTACACTTCGCTAAACACAACAGAAATACACTTTAAGCATAAAACAAACGAGGAGAGTCTCCAGAGTCAGTGCTGATTGATACAGATCATAAATAAAGGTGAATCTGCTTTGTAAGATGTGCGAGTGCTGACGTCAAAAACACCTCAAAAATGCTTTCACAGTGGATTGGCCATGATATTATCATGCGCTTGGAGCACGTGGTGTTTTGTTTTCTTTCTGCACAAAGCTTTTAATTCAAGTCAAGCGGCAGGTCATGTTTTCACATGTGGCTGGGTTGTGGACATCACCCAAAGCACCTCTTCCTCATAGACATCCTGACCAACCAGTAGGTGTCAGTATTAGTGACAAGAGGGTGATCCCTCACCATCTTCCCACCCAGTGATCATAGTCACATGTGTCTGAAGCCCAAGAACAAGCTGATTCATACTACACTAAATGATGACGTGACTATTCAACTTCAGCCTGGTGTCCGACCCACAGTGCAGTTTTGAGTGTTTTCATAAACATTAGCACCTGATCGTGTCTGACTGGGCTGTCCCAGACACTGTGACACTAAGCTCTGATTAATTACTGCAAAGCGAACATACGATGTGATCGATCAAAAACCCACTGAGCTGAATAACATATATCCTGCCACATCTCATCTCTGTATCTGTGTAGTTACGATTGGAGCTCTTAAATCTAGGTAAGATGAGACAAATCTACTCACTGAAAATGAAACATTGATTAAATCAATGTAGAAACTGAAGGTAGGTTTCATAGAATGGTCAGAAATACTGTAAAGTGTGTGTGTGTTATGTAACAAAAAAAAAAACCTCAGACCATCACTATCATCGGAGACTACAAACCAAATGACCCCAGAGTCAATTCAGGGTCTTCAATACAGCCTGAGAATGCCTGCAGTCAATTCCTTTTTTGGTTATATGTTTGGGTTGTTTACTGAGGCTTGTTAGTCACTCAGCACATGTTGTCAATGTCCCCAGTAAACTACAGTTTGTGAAGCAGCAGGACGAGCCTTAAACTCTCGGATCGACATTGCTGTGTGTTGTATTCAGCAGGAAACATTCCTTCAAAAGATCTTTCTTTTTATTATGAGGTTCTCTTTGGTCTGCTGCACTTTTAGGATAATGAAGTGCAAAATATTATATAACACACAAGTCAATCAAGACTAAATAAAGAACTTATTCGTAATGACAGCCGCAGAGGACACAGAGCAAACAGGGATGCATAGCATGGCCTTCCCCTGGGGGGGCTTCTCTCCCTTAAATATGCAGCGAGCGGCAGGATATAAGAGAGAAGGGGAGGACAAACCAGTCAGAACATGAAGCTCTGGGGAATGTGTCGGAAGATGCAGGAAGTTGAGTAACAGTAGAGGAAGAAACCCTGTTTTTCAGCTCGCCTTACTGGTAACTGGCTATACCACAAATATCACAGTCACCTTACTTTGGCCCAGGTCCTACTGAGATACCAATCTACACATTGTTCTTCATGTCTATGGTGATTACACAATATTGCAGTATCTGAATACAAGTTAACTATGTGTTATATAACTGGTTTTACCAACCTAGACCAACTTACATTCTCATCATTTTCAACATAGCATTACAAATGTTACTCCTCTTTTGTACATCAGCCTAACACTAACACTACTCACGCCGCTGCTAGCTGGTCAACGGATAATGACATGTTATAAAGTAGAGAACCCTCTTTCCATAAACATTTTCCTTAAGGGTGACCCTGAACATAACAGAAGTTTCTATGCAGTGTCTCCCATGCCTTTTCCTCTCCTCAGAGTTGTTCTTTGCCTGTCTTAAAATCTCTCTCAGCCGATGAATCAGTCTGCACCGTCAGACACCTGCGCTCCTTGACGCTGTGTTTACTAGTGCTCCTGTCTCCGTGTAAACACTAACTCAGACCAACAACCCCCTGGGTCAGGGGAGAGCAGCGAGGCTCAGCCAGCAGGATGGATGAGGTGAGGCTGAGAAGAGTGGGCGACTGCAGAGAGAAACCAGCTGCTCGTTCCAACTCAGGCGTAAGACTATGTAGGTCATGTGAAAGTACAGCAAAACTCACTTTTAGAGACAGTGTGAAAGCACAAAATGGTGCCCCATTATGCAGGAACAGTTCAAGTTAAATATTAGTTCTTGTGACGCACACATCAATGATCAATTACTGTGGTATTACTAACAGAGCCTGAAGAGGGAGGAAATTGTTCAAAAATAGGCACCAAGTACACAACAGTTGCAGGTATGATCTGCAGGGACTGTCAGATCTTGAAATTCTCCAGATTAAATATTGACATAGTCAAGATCGTACTCGCAGTGCTGAAAAACCTAAGCAGAGGAGGCTGACAGCTTGTCATGGTTAGGAATAGGAGGAGCAAGCAGTCTTATTTTAGCTACAGGCAACCAGGCGCTTGACTATATTAGCGTGTGTGTGCGTGTGTGGTGCACGACAGGACGACTGTGTGTGTGTGTGAGCGTGTGCACGTAATAGTAGGACCCCTCACCAATACTATTCACGAACTTGTGTCAAATCCAAAACATCCTGTGCTAACTTTATGCCTACGAGGCACCTAGCATGGCTAACAGCTAGCTACTAGCTAGTTAGCTGGGAGAAACAGCTGCTAGCTTAGCCGCGAAGCTAATTCATTCGTATCCGGTGCGCAGAAGTTTTGCAAACAGTGCAAGTTAGACATGCATCGGTGATTTATACTCTTGAATCCCCTGCTGCTGCTCTCGGGTTACCACCCAGCCCTTCCAGCAAGCGTTAGCCTAGCTTAGCAGCCCTGAGTTAGCAGTAGCCAGCAGCCCCACCAAAACCTTCTTACCCCGTCCCTAGCTCTTCCAGCTCTACCGCGGCCCTTACCATGTCTGCGGCGGTCTCAGCGGGGCAGGGGAGCACGATTTCACCGATGACTGTATACCGTAGCTTTTATATGGTTCAACAAACCGCTCCTCTCGTCTCTTGTTGATTTGTTATTTGTTTAGTCCCCCTCGGAAGATGTTTTGTTCGCCTCTCCCTCACTGAACCCAGCCCTGTCAGCGAAATTCACTTCCTCAACCGGGCTACAGGAAGGACTCGGAGGCTGCAGTCAGAAAACAGGCCCCGGTTGCATGTCCGGGTCACTCCGGGCTTTCTCTGCAGCAGCCAATAGCGAAGGAGCAAGAAAGGCATTGCCAAGTATGGAAAGAGAGGAGTGGTGCAGTAAATATGCACCGAGAGGGCAGTGCATCCACATCTTCTGCTTCTTTCCGGCATACCAGCCACTGTTTATTACAATGACAAAAACATTGATGGGGTTATAATAAAATAATCCTGGAATCGGCCATTAATGTGATTCAAGCTCTGCTCCTTTCATTATTTTATTTTTTAAAACGCCATAGATTATGCAAATCAATATCATAAATTATACAATATGAATTTTTATATACAACTGTGTTCCACGTTTATTTCCGTTCACATCCCTTTTATTCACACATATCCTATGACAAATTTTAAGTGTAATTATCATTATTAAATTGGATATTGTTCATTATTATATCATTACTAAACATTATATCATTATTCAATTAAATATTATGTATATCATAGAAATATATATTATTATATATTTATAATATATAATAATATCTATTTTTATTTTTTTAATTGTTTTATTTTTATACAATTCATTCTAAAATTCATTGAATTTTATCTTTCTTTGACATTAACTATTTTGAAATCATGCAGTGCTGCAAAAATACAGTAAACTACTGTTTACTGTACCCTCAACTACTCACTTATCAATGTTAATATTATTATTATTACTTTTTATTCATTTAATTGTATTTTATTAATTTATTGTTGTTTGTATATTAATTATACTTAACTTTGGCATTGTCCATATTTTATATGCTTGTATTTTAAACACTCCTTCAGGTTTAGTATTATAGATTTTTGTTCAGTTGTACAACCAGGTACAATGATGTAAATGTCCATACAGCACCTAAATGTGTTGATCATGTATTATTAATGGAGTGCTGTGGTGGATTCGGCAACATCTGTGGTGGTTGATTTATTGATTTATTGTTTTTGTTTCACTTAACACTTTATTAAAACATTTTTGTGACATTGACATGTCAGTTACAACAGCATAATAAAATAAAAAATATATAAAAATAATAACAAAACAAAAACTGCTTGGGTAAATACACATTTTTACAGCCTTAATAAGGATTAGTGCATCTATTGATTATTATTCAGGTCCAGTGTCATGTTGTTCAGTCTTGTATAAAGTCAGTGTTTCCCATTTTCTTTCTAGTTGTGCTTCTTGGAGTCTCCATACGTGTGTCACTTTCTCCATTAAAAAGATTTCTTCCACAATTGTTAGCCATTGGTGCTTCGTTGGTGGTGTTTCTTTGTGCCAGTTCCTAGTGATAGCTTTCTTGCATTGATTTATTTTTTAAATATGTTCACACTGAATGCACTGTGTCTAGTCTTGCTGATCAGACTGATAACCAACACCCAACTTTTTCACCTGCCCTTCAATTAATTGTTTTAGTTTGCAGGTATTTTCACACAGGATAAACCATCACTTTAGTGACAGTCATATATGGTTTGATAAAGCTTCAAACTCATGACTTTAAATGGTAAATGACTTCAATGATTTCTCGGATTTACTTTCTATTGTTTATTGTAAAAAATAAAGCATGAGGAAGTGACCCATGCAAATGTATACCCATGTAGTTACTTATTTTTATTATTTATAAAATGTTCTAATTAAAAAATCTCCATCATCTTTGTACAAATATGTTCTCTGCCCTGAAGCTGTGCGTGCATCCTGGATTGTTTGTAAATGGGAAACCTTCCTGTAAACCCCGGCTCACATCTGTATATTATTGACTGTGAGTGCAAAGCAGCACTTTGACTTCCAGCATCTAGTCTGCTGGAAATTCATAAAAGGAGGAGAAATCCAGCTAAAATCCTAAAAACGATTAGTGTTACTGTGAACACAATCGAGTGTTTTTGAAAAACGAGATATGTTTTTCATTAGCTTAGAAGGTGTGGTGCAAGTTCTTTCTCAAAACATGCCACATCTAGATTATCCTCCAGGCAAAACATATTCAAAGACAGAGAGTTAATCCAGTTGTAGATATTCTCAGAATACTATTACTGTTTGTAAATGGGGAACTCCTGTTTTTCTTTTCAGTAGCCTGATACATCTGATGTGCAACACTTTGTGTATGTAGCATCACTTCCTGTGCATACATTAGCCTATATGCATATGGGTGGCGTAAGGGACACTTCCACTAACACACTAACGCTAGCAAGAGGCTGCAATATACATAACTTTTTATCAGATAAAGTTAGATATATTGAGCAGCCTTCTAAAATGACAGCGATAAAAGTGATCAAATTAGTTTTGAATGGGCTATCTAAAGGTTTAACACTTAAATTATGCCACTATGACAAATAAAGTAACATAAATAAAAGGGGCCAATACATATAATTTCTATCAAGTGTGTTAATATAATGCACCTTTCCAAACAGGGAGGTGTAGAAGCATGGTGTTATATACGTTTTACAATATAACCAAGTTATAAGCTATGTATTGAATGATCTGTTGACTGATTAAATTAATAAAACATGAAAAAGAGATGTTTGCTTAAAGTAAATGGTAATTAAGGAGCAGAGATCTTAAAATTCAGGTGCAAAAAATGGGAAAACACTTAAAATGTCTATTATATGCGTGTATATTATAAGTGTATATGGACTGCAGTTGTGGCGGGGTGAGTTCACGTGACTGTACATTTCTCGCGATACTCTGCGAAGCTCCCTGACAGCTGAAAACATGGCAGACGACCACGGACGGAAATGGGACCGCTGTCTTGCTGATACAGCCGTGAAAACAGGTAAATTCCCTTTCATACACATGTTATTATTTCACGCTTACATTAGGTATACTTTGGTATATTACACCTGGTAAATAAGCGGTGCTACGAGTCAGCTGAGGTGCTTTTCTACGGGACGTCTGTGTGAGCATGCTGGGACAGTTTACTGAGGTCAAATGTGTACTTGACCGCTGCTGAATGGATTAAACCAACGATAATGTGGTTTTTATTTTATGAGGAAGGAATTATAAGCTTAAAGAAGACCAAAAAGCGTTTGGATACAAGCTAGAGTCTGTGTCTTGATTAACAGACTGGAAAGAGACTATGTGAGCGTGAGTATGGAGGGTGTATCACAGCCGTAAAGGGTCAGTCTGTCTACTTTCAGTCTGAGATTACTGGCCTGATTCAGCCTGTCTCACTTCTCTCCATCAACCACATCTATATTTTACAGAGAAGTAGCAGCAAGGAGCCTAACAGTCCTACTCTGGAATTAATGATGTTGTAGCGCTTAAAACTAAAGCAGGTCTGTCACAGGGTAAAGAAGCACCTGTTTTGTTGAGACCACATCCACAATAAAATGGGTTCAGTCCACTAAAACACCTAAAAATCACTGTAAACTGCTAAATCTATGAGCCCATCTCTCTGCATACTGTGTTGTAATACAGCTGAAGACACATGTAAGTTGTTCTCATTCACTCATGTTGTCACACAATGAGCATAAAAGATGATATAATCCTGTCGTACAAATCTAAATACAGGATAATGACATCAGCTGTGCGGTGTGATAGATAGCTGTCTTGAAAGCTTTACTGCTACACAGCCTCCAGCCTATCTGGGAGGACATGTGTTCTTGTTTTACACAATGTTTCCTTGTGAATACTAAAATGCAATGCCAGCTTTTTCAGATTGATCCCCTCTGGAGAGGGGATCAATCTGAAAAAGCTGGGTGGGAAATGTGCTGGCTCAGTGTTGATGGAGGGCTGCAAGAAAAAGATGCCTCCTCAGGTTGTTCCAGTTTAGTGTAGAGAGAAATTCTGTTGTAAGACAGTGTTGGTGAAGGTGCACTTGTGACCAGTGTTCCTATTTATTAAAGCACATTTCCATTTTTATTTGGCATATGATGTTAGGATTCTGAGCATCAGTCTCTGCAGCTGATGCACCAGTGGTTCAGGCACTAGCTGGAAAACAGAAACAAACCTTCAACCTATAATATCTGTAGCTGCCTCATGAGCTTTGATCCCGGAGTAAATGAACCTTACATCATTTTAATCAAAATTATTTGCCCTAAGGCATTGTCAGCTTAACCCATTAGTATGGCGCAAACAACCTACAAACCTGATCAACAAATAAAGTCTACATTTAAAATAACAAGTGACAGAAAGAAGACAATCTGTTTGTGACTTAAAGAAGTCATGATTTTTTCATTGTACTGCAGTTACCAAACACTGAAAACAGCACACATGTAACAACTTATATATATATATATATATATATACATACATACACACACACACACACACACACACACAGTACTAAACAATAGGGATAGACCGATATGGATTTTTTTAGGGCCGATGCCGATACCGATTTTTTTCCATCACCCTTAGCCGATGACTGATTATGGACTGCCAATTTTCTTGAGCCGATATTTGGGGCCGATACTGCTTTTGCTCCCTCAATTTACATAAAAAAAATGACACAATGATAACAAATATTACTGGTCTCAAGTTTAAAATAAGAAACATTTATTGAACAGTAAAAAAATACTAAAACAAGATGGAAAGTTGAGGTAGAACAGGTAGAATATTATTATTATTATTATTATTATTATTATTATTATTATTATTATACATTCAAATAAAAAAAAGAGTTCAGTGCTCTTAAATCTTCCAGTAATGTCTTTATAAAATAAACAAATATTTAAGCTGAAGCATAAATATAACAACAGCTACTGTACACAGTAGGATTCAACAGCTTTGTTCAACTTGACCACATACTTTCAAATGAAAAAAAGTGCCAGGGAAAAATAAATCCGCGAACCCACGCGCGTATCGGCCAATGCCGATACAAGTAAAAAACCGATACATCGGCCGGCCAATGTATCGGTCTGTCCTTACTAAACAACAGACATGTTTGAATTTATTGCCAAAACCATTTAAGTAACAACATAAACAGCATTTTTATTTGAGAATGTCATATTAAAATTATAAAGTGCTGAAGGAGTTAGTCATAAAATCT